GGCAAAATGCTTGTTACGCCTTTACAAGTGACACATAAAACAGATTTATGCTAGCTTTTCAAGAAATGGTAAATAGTGTTGCAGACAAAAGTTATTCCTCTGCTACCAAGCCCGTCAAGGAAATGTAATCGGAGACGATTAGATTCAAATGATATAAGGATAGCATTTGCGGCGCATCGCTGCTGTGCGTACAAACCATCCTACATTTCAGTTCCCCCTGAGACTGGTACTTAATCTAATGTCATCTGGTCCTGGTTGTACTAGGGATATTCATAATAAAAGACTATACTGCAACTCCAATTAGTCTAAACTATCCTCTATGTACAGAGTGTTCTGTCATGTCTGCTTTAAAACCAGTGTTGTGGTGTTGAGGATCAAACCAACATTCAGGTAAACAGAGGGCGCAGTTCTGCCGGCATTTGAAAGTGGCGGCTCCTTCTAACCGATTCTTGTAAGCGTATGATCACGAGGCAGGCTAAGGGCTTGTCCGCTTAATGTATCAGGATCAATTGCACGTAGTTCTTCAGGAATGGCATATTTTTTTCTTTGAAGCAGAAGCCACAGATCTCATCGCTTAGATTCTTTTGGTGAACTAATATACATGCGTCCGATTAACGATCCTCCGCCACGTATTTTCCGGGTTTTCTTGACAAGTGTGAATGCAAATGGTATTAGAGACCCGCGAGTCGAGTATTTTTGAAAGGATGGGATTCTCCTTATGGTCTTATCCAACAGGGATACGATTCTCACTGCATGCATATAGCTTGAACCATACCGTAAAATCGTATCCCGGTGTTCCTCTTATCACAGCTGATCTTTCTTGTCCGGCTGCAGGGTTACTTCCCATCCTAACATCCTGGGCCATGAACTTCAAAAATACCGTGTTATATTTGAAGTGACAATCATATGCGGATAAGTGATGTAACGGCTCCAGAGAACAGACAATCGCGCGTCAGGATGGGCTTTGTCATCTATCTGTTCGGCCTTGTTCCTATGGAGCAATTTCAAAAATGTCCGGTATGGGCCTTTGTATATGTATTTGAAAAAATACGAGTTAAGAGTTCTACGTATAGACTTGGTGCTAATGGGTGCACCATATATGGCGGTTATGAAGTCGCAATTTCGAACACTGATGGAAAGAGCGCTGACGGAGTGCTGCTTTCATCGTCTATTTTCTCCTCGTCGGCATATATCGTCCCAAATCGTTTCATGATCAAGAATCCACCATTAACTTCGTCTTAATCTCACAGCGCTAAGACGAATAGACATTAGCG